ATGGACTATAGTGGGTTATAGATGGGTCAAAGATGGGCCAAAGATGGGTTAATGATATGTGTTGAGGACTGAATGGACTGAAACTGAATAGATGGACTATAATGGACTGAATCCAAATTTAGATAGATCAATTGCTCAATTTGCAGAAATTTTACAAAGTGAAAGTCTTTTTCTTGAAACTTAGATGGACTGAATAGGTGGACTATAATGGACTATAAATTTTCTTTCTCAGGACCGATATGGGAGGACGGCGCTGATGTGGGCTGCGGACTGCGGTCATCTCCAGGTTGCTGAGATGTTGCTCAAATTGAGCGCATCCGTCGATGTCGCGGATGTGCACACTGGAAGGTCAGTAATTAATGTTGTCGTCTCAACCATTTCATCCAGAGATACTTCTGCACAGTAATTAATTAATGGATTCAAAATTCCGACGAAAGATGTTGTGACAGGATGTCAAACGAACGTTCCTTTTCCTTCTTTCCCTCTCTGCCTACGGTTCACGGGGCAATTATTATATGTGAGAACGTATGATGGGAGCATCCGAATTGTGATGACCCATCTATCTATGACCCATCACCGATGTTTGACCCATCATTGAACCATCTATGACCGATTTTGAATTTTTGACCCATGGATGACCCATGTCTGACCCATCTAAGACCCATCTTTGACCCATCTTTGACATCTTTGACCCATCTTTGACCCATCTTTGACTCATCTATGACCCATCCATGACTATGACCCATCTATGACCCACCTATGACCCACCTATGACCTATCCATGATTATGACCCTTTTATGACCCAACTGTGACCCATCTATATGACCCGTCTATGACCGATCGTCGACCCATCGATGACCCGTCTGTGACCCATCTATGACCCATCTTTGACCTGTCTATAGCCCATTTCTGACCCATCTATGACCCCATCTGTGGCCCATGTATGACCTATCTCCAACCCACCTTGAGAGGCAGGCTTACATCCTTCACCAGGAAGGATATACCCCTGGTTTACGGAAGTAAGTCCAAGTAACTAGGGGTACACTGTACTGATTTTACCGAGAAGTACGCCTCTATACATTGCACTAATTTTACTAGAAGTACGCCTTTATACATTGCGCTAATTTTACCGGGAAGTACGCTTCTATTAGGATGTACCCCCTGTTTTTGTCTCCTCATAAATTGTGCTGACCCCTTTATAATTCTCCTCCAAAAAGAACTAGACCTCCATGAGGCTCCATCCATATTGATACCCCTCACAGCCCTGCTGTACTACCTCTAAATCTCCCATGCAAGGTTCTGCAATAACCCCTGCAGTTTTCAGTCTGACAAAATTTTGCCCTTTCTGCTGACCAGATTCCCCTGTTTTTTTTTTTTTTTTAAGAAAAAAAAACATGAGCCCCTGTCTATTATGCATAACACAAATACAAATATAAAATAGTTAAAAAAAGGATCAAAGATGGTGATTTGTGTTGGAGCATATTTACAGGTGTCTCATAATTCAGGTGCAAAAATCGGACAGTGTATCAAAATCCTGCATCCTAAAATAAAGTAAAATAAGATATTAATTTATTACTAAATGTGAAACTCTGTGGCATACTAAGAAAAGGTCTGGTTACTGACTTTCTTTCGGGATCGTAAAAAAAAAATAAAAAAATAAAAAAGGGTGAAATATTAAATATAAAAACTCCTCCATCCTGAATTATAGATGATAGTATCATGGTACTGTAATAGTGATACTTTACAATCATAGGTGATACTATAATAGTGTCATAAGAAAACAAAGAGCTATTAATAGCCTATTATAGTTTATACTATTATGGTGTCTTTGAAACAAGCACGAATGGGTCGCAACAGTCAGAATGCGCAGCACCCGCTGACCAGATTCATGTCTGTGAGATTTCTCAGGTTTTCTTAGATCTCTGAGATTTCTCAGGTTTTCTTAGATCTCTGAGATTTCTCAGGTTTTCTTAGATCTCTGAGATTTCTCAGCTTTCTGCGATATCTTAGATTGCTGAGATTTCTTAGATTTCTTTGATTTCTTTGATTTCCTTGATTTCTTTGATTTCTGGGTGTGGACTAAGATATCTGAGATTGCTTTGAAAATGGCTTGTCTGGAGCCAGGACCGACTAAGTCCAATTTACGCTTGTGCTCCTCCGTTTTCGATCACGTGCGGCTGTCCGTGACATCCGTCAGTCGTTGATCCAGTAGCGTATCGACTGCTACTGGTAGTGTCTATTGTCTTTGTTTTGGTGGAGGCAGCTGCCCAATGGCCAGTAGATTTTTTTTTTAATTCATTTGTTGGCCATTTATTTGGCCACTTCGCGTTGGCACAAAGCTTCAATACTATGGTTTTTTTAGGTGGGGGGGGCGGGGTTGAAGCTTCGCGCCTTGCTTTTTTTTTTTTGCAGAATTGAGAATATTGACATTTCTCTGTGGAAGACTGCGAACAGGCCGGCGGGAAGGTCGCATGCAGATGTACCGGGTTAGTGGAAGTGTGGATGCACAGCCTGTACTGTCATGATGTCGATGTGAGGCCCCGTGATTTTTCGTTTTTTGGGTCCTTTTCTTGGCTACTGCCTTAATGAAAAATAGCATTGTTTATGCGTTTTTAAATGAGAAAAGAACGCCACACACTGTTTTAAACGATGCTAGTCGGTCCTGGCCCCTGGGAAATGAGTGTGGGCCCCCTATGGGCAAAAAAAAAAAAAAAACGCGGGGCCCGGTCGTGCGAGGACTAGGGAGGGTCCCAGGAAAGAAAGAAAGAAAAAATCCAAAAGAAAATTGAAAATTTGAAAAAAAAAAACTATGCTATAGCAGTTATGCAGAAAAATACACTGAACAACTTTTGCCTCAGGGTCACATCCAAAATCTTTACCAAATTTAAAATAAATATTTAAATTAAAAAAAATAATAAAGTTGTTTCTTTTTTGGGCCGCCTGGGCAAGTGGTCCCGGGCCACTCTGGTAGCCTAGAGTATAGACCTAAATGGGCGCAAACAAAAACAAACAACGTATGGGCCCATATTGGCACAGGGAAGAAAAAAAAAACGTATGCGGCTACTATGAACCCATATGGGCAAATCACATGTGCGTTCGAAGAAGCACACAGGAGTCACACAAGCTAGGCGCTCCTTCCACACCACTTCTTGAGTTTCAGTGTCGGAGCAAAAATCTTCGTTCCACCCCTCCCTAATGACGATGCTCAAATGTCTCACATTCTGTCTCAAGTGCGGCCCGGGCAAAATCGTACGTGAACTCAAGGTATCTCCCCGAGGTACAGGTGCGAACAGATGTCGGCAGCAATGATGGCGCCCTTTTTTTGTTTTTTTGGCGTTTATTGGAGGACGGTCCAGGTCCAGTGGGTGGTCCATCCTACCCTGCGGGGTGGCAACAGCTCGTTCCCACCGGTTCCCTCACGACGCATTCCCCGCGGTTCCCTCACAGCTCTCAGCGGGCTGGTACCGTGGGGAAAACGGCTGTTCAGGCGGGGTAGCCATTGCATCCACCAGCCCCACGCAAGCAGTTTGAATTTGAAATCCGGTGGGGACCTGGCGGAGGGCATGGAGAACGCAGTAGGTGTGTGACCTGATATACAGCTCATGGCCCTCAGAGATTGGCAATTCCTTAGCTCTCCCCTGTGATGTACGCTGCTTGTCCGGTCTTCTTTGGGCGTTGCATGGCGAGGCCCTCCCATGTGCCACCCGTCCTCCGTCGTATCCACCACCTTGGTGCTTCATGCGGAAGGGCGCCGGCGATGATGGCGTTCGCCATGAGGAAGGGTGCGTCCCGCAGAACACTGGATGTCGCCGACTCAACCATTGCTTGCGTCATGGCCGCCTCCCTCCTCTCCCTCCTACATAGACCACGTTGGCATAGCTCAGCCGTCGTCTGCAAATGTCTGCACACCGCCGTGAGGGCTGTGACCACCAAACCCTTCTCCCTCTCTGTCAATTCCCGCCGCCCCACTGAATCGCCTTTCCCATGCATGCCTGCGTTCTCAGAGTCACCGCAATGGTGGGTCACTATGCGGAATCCTCCACCCGTCGTCAGTTGCTCGCCTTAGGGTGTGCAGGCGGTACTTGTAGCCACCACCGATTGCCGACGACCACCGCTGCCAACAATCTCCCGCCCGATTCAAAAATTCAATTATGGGGGTGGGCCCGACTGGGCCTGCCTGTCCCATGCGCCGCCAACCAAGTGGACATTTTCGTAAACCACCCGCCCAACGAAGAGGACCCCGGCCCTCCTGAAACAATGCGCTGCCAGCCAGGCGGCCCCGCGGCTGTTCAAGTGTGCCCGTCTCAAGTATATTCTCTCAAGTGCACACGGAATGGTAAAAGAAGTTAGTACAATTTAATGAATTGTACTCACCATTTCGCGATTAGGGCGCACTTGAGTCTCTAGGGTTCTCTAGTGGTGTGGAACGAGCCTCTTAGCAACGCTCACCAGGACCGGTTCGAGCATGGTGGGGTTTAGGGCTTAAAGGTTCCGGGGCTCAGGGCTTACGGTTTTGGGTTAAGGGTTTAGGGTTTTAGAACTTCAGGGTTTATGGTGGAGGGTTACACGATCAAATTGGAACGATACAGAGAATGAAGACTAGCATGGCCCCTGCGCAAGGATGACACACATAAATTGAGAAATGGTCCAAATTATTTAAAAAAAAAAAAAAAAAAAAAAAAAAAAAAAAAAAAAAAAACTTCAGGGTTTAGGGTTTTATCAACTTTTATGGTGTAGGGTTGATTGCAATTCGAACCCTTCGGGTATGAAACGAAAGGTACATCCTCGTCCCTCCGACATGTTTTGGATAATCTGCGTTTATATTCTGAGCCGATTCCTTTCCAGAATCTTATGAGATTTGAAGACGTCCTGGAGGCCTAATCCCCGAAGACTCGAAGAGTGATGTATACATAACCTTTCTTCGTGGTCCGGCCCGGTCGCAGTTTGAGTCCGGCTTGTCCTTGGCTACAGTAATTCGGTGCTTTTGTTCGCCATCTATCGTTTTTCAAAGTCTGAACCAGTTTTCAAAAATGCCAATTAGCTGTGCTTTTGTTCGCCATTTTTTTTTTTATTATTATTATTTTATTTTATTTTTAATTTTTTTTTGTTCGCCATTTATTGCTTCTGAGTTCTAGCCAGTTTTTGAAAATGCCAATTACCCATGACCGGGCAGCTTCTTTCTCGATCATCTGTCTGACGATGGTGACCGACGACCGTCTGAGACCCTCTTCTCTTCAAGATCGTTTCGTATGCTCCTGAATCGACGTCTTTCCCCGAATAAAATGTACAGTGATTGTAGTTGCATCTGGTTAACTTGCAGTCTAGATACAGCGGTAATCAGTGTACG